AATTTCATTTTTTATTTAAACGTACCGAGAAACGTGAACGAAAGTGAAAAGTAGAGAGGAAGCTTGTACGATCATCATTAATTTGGCGTTTTAATTATCCCACTCTGTTACTGCGAATCTTAATGTTATCATCAATGAGGCGTGCAGATTGGTATCAGGATCTTGTAAGGAATGTACGTTGTCCACAGTTGCTATTTTATTTTAGCGATTCCCATGAATACGTTATTTCAGTTTATTAATATTTTTCGAATCTTGCTGTTTGGTAGATTACGTAAGACAAAGGTCTTGTGTTTGAAATGTGAAAAACCCAACGGCTCCTGCAGGACTCGAACGCACAATTATGTGGCAGTCAACTTACATGGAAGCCAGTGGATTCTATACGCTTTCTAAGAAAAATAGTAGTGAACAAGCTCGTTTGCGGTAATCTATCTACTGGCTAATACATCACAAACTGTCACAATGTTTCGTAGGGGGGGGGGGGGGGGAAAAATNAAATCATGACAAAATGGGAAGAGTAGAAAATCAACGTAACCGTAAATTGCCTACACTTTGGTCATCACGCATGTGCATGGGTTTCGGCCATTAGGGGCTGTGTTTTGGCTATGGAAGACCCTACTTTTCAGCCAGGTGGGTGCTACTCGCCCATTCGCTCAGCTAAACGTTTGCTCATGCGGTCATTTTACCTTAGGTAAACAAGTACACACGGAAAAAAGACTGCGGAAACAGGTAATTTATCTTTGAGTGGAGAGCGCAAAAGTGGCATGGAGATGAACACTATGCAAAGTTTTGCTGCGAGGAATGCTTTTTCCTCAGCTGTACTCAGTTTGCGTGTCACCATTTCGACAGTTGTGTCGTCCTTTGAAGTAAAAGTATGTCAACCGGTTTCTTCTCAACGGTGGTGATCTTATTCGACAACCGGTGTCGCCTCAAAATGTTGTCCACCAGTCATTCTGGGTATCCGTTATGCGAAAAAACCTCTCAGATAAAACTTATTTCGCTCTCACTGGTAACATCAGTACATATTGTCCACCATCTTCTGTCGAGGTAGTGAATCAGATTTCTTTCTAGTTCCAATGGCACAATTTTTGAATGGATACACATATCATTCCACGATGGATTCTGGTGAATGGTGTGCTGGATAGTTCCTTCTGATCAACAACTTAGTCAGATGTCCAGAAATGCGATTTTCTTACTCTCTTTGTTCTCTAGAGTTAAATTTACGTTTGAATGAACTGAACCAAATACGTTTAATGGTGTTGACAGATTCTCATTGTCATCTTATTTTGTGTGCAAAAGTATAGTAATTATTTGAGATCACCACCTGCTATTCCGATTTCACAATTATTGCTTTGTATGTATTCAAAGTTTCACCAGTGGTTACGTTTAAGAGGATGGAAACGAAGTCGAGTGATATCATGCGTAAACGGACTACGTTTGAGTCGAGTCACAAAGTCATAGGAATCCTTTAATGTGTGATTAGTGAGTTGTGCTCTCACGGGTTCCAAGATCTCTACCGGCCACTTAGCCATATAATGGTGAGGGGAGCTACACGTGTCTAGGATCGTTTCGGGGTGCACTCCATCTTTATGTTTCTTTGGTAAGCCATAGAGTCTTGCAGTCATTGAATCATTTGATAGGATTTTTTCAACCGTGGTAGTGTCTCTTACATCCCCCTGTTTCAGGCACCGGGGCATTTTCGACAGTGATTTTTCTATCTGCTATATTTTATCTTTCTCGCCACGGTTTTCTAAAATTTCCCGGCGTCGCTGGGTATACTGTTGTCTTGATGATTTGATCTGATCTACTTAAAAGGAACATTCTAGCACATTTATCTGGTCTTGACAAAATAACGTATCTGTTTCCCCTCAGCTCCTTCAACCGTCCCCGGTGTTGTGCGGTTATTCACTCTTTTATCAGTGGTTTACTCCCGAGGAGTTTATAGCACGCGTTGACCAGAGTTGATTTAAGGTCTAGTGACGAACGTATCCAGTCTTACAGATGAAAAATTAACAACATATTTTTGGAGGTTGATTGGTTACTCACTAGGGTGTTTCGTTGGATCAATCAATTTCTGCAGTATTTGAGGTTTACGCTTCAGCCATTTGTATTCGATCGAAACCAACTTGTCAGCCTGGATCCCTCAGGATGAAAACACCTTAACCTGAAAATGGTTCCTTTCTCCTTTAGTGATTCAACTCGCTGGATCTCAATCTGAATGAAAATAGTGATTATTCTTGAACAGGTACCACAAAGTTTCAGAATATAGTGCATAAAGTTAGCAGGAATCGGACGATGATTTTGTCTTAATAGTAGGTAATATTTTTGTCCGTATGTTAAGATAGTCTTCTAATTAAATTGCCCCATTATCTTGGTTCAACATTGATGAAACCACGTGCACCTTATACATGGCTGTGTTCAGATTTTGTATCCTTGAAACATCATTGAAACAAATTCGTTGTTTGTTCATGGCCACAATGCTGCCTGACTGTTCAAGCCGAAACAGCTGATTCTCTTCATGATTCACAACTAGTGCCTTTGGCTGGCCCAAGTCTAACGCACAAGGGAGAAGCTCGTACACATGTCTAATTTTTGGAGATTTGACATCAGGAATTTTAGTTCTGTTCGATGATCTAGCTGCCTGAGGCTATTTGTGGTTTCGGACATGAACTATTTTCCTCATCCTCATTTCACTGGAGCTACCTTCGCCAAACTGAGGTAGTAAGTAGCACTTTCATATCATATGCTTTAATAGACAGCTTAAGAGCGTTTCCCGAGAAAAGAAAATCGCCCTCTGATGGGCTGAGGCAATTGGGAACCGATCACTTTAGATAGTATTTAGTACACAGCAGTGTGTTGAAAACACAAAACACACAAAACAATCAGATTCAAGAACAAGTTTTTTAATCCAACCTATTTCTCCTATATACAATTTTCTAAATAGATCTGTTTGCAGAAAATCAACATGTTCAGTGCAATTCATTGAGCTGTTGCCAGTAAGAGAACGCGATTTGGGTAGTGGTCTTCGGTGACTCGTTGACATAACCGGCAACCAGTTCTGGTTGATGTCCCGGATAACTGTGTTTGGCCCGATCTGGAGAAACCATACGAAGAAAGTGAAAGCATATTGAAGACAAAAAATGTACAATGAAACTTTTCGGGATGAATGTAGATGTCTAACCGTTTCAATATTCACTTTACGATTGCTTTTTACGGTAGGTCGAGTCATCTATTCACTACTTGACTAGTGGAATATATTGCGATGTATTGCTGTAACCAAGGATACCGGTTTATGTGCTTGCTAGCCATTGTATGTGAAACATGTGCGCGGCAAACAGCCGTTAGGCATAGTGCAGTTTTTCAGCTTTCGTGTTATTTCGTTTGTCACACCATATACATATCCTTATATATATCACCGGTTTGCAAAAAAGCATGATGCCAGTGCAACACCAATAAGAACAGAGGATCGGGGGGGGGATTGAGGTATAACACATAGTGAAATGGAGGTCAAGCAGTTACAGTGAACAACAAGAATAACAATTTTTCGTTTTTTCACCGAACCAATTTTTTGTATTTTGGTGTTAGTTTAGGAATAGCCCTACCCGAAGGAGTTGCACATGGGAACATTTGGTTTGTCACGACATTTGCGTGGTGAGTCCGCCTTGCAGACCATATGGTACAGTCATACTCACATGTTTAGACATGGACTTCACGATGACCTCTAGTAAAGATCTTTTGGTTATCCCTTATTTGTGCTGCCCATTCCACTTGCCACACTTGCAATCAAGCATGTTTTCCTCGTTGTCTCAGAAACTCATGCAACGTATCTGGTGAATGACTGTTTCCAAACAGGATTTTATATGTGACTTTATTTGTGAACTGGTAGATCATTAGAGTAATGAAAAAATAATTTGTGTTATCAACCCTTGTCTGAAAACTATTTTCTACGAAAAGTGTAGACAAGTGTGTAAAGCCGCGAAGATGAAGGACATGTCAATATTCGGTCTCTTTGGAGTGCTTTAGGTTACCCACATCACAAAATCAATGACAGTTGGAATCACAGTACCAATCGCCTCTGCATTATTGTCACTTATACAGGCGAAAACAGGTCCTTATAGGGAAACTAATCAAGTCTGGGCAATAGCGAATCACTGTGTGAAACCAAACAGTTTCTAACAAGAAATTTTTTATGAAGTGAATTTACAAACGCGGATGTTGGTGCACCAGCTGCCTTTACATATGATATTCAGAAAAAAGAATATAAAAATTAATTAAAAACTGGACTTCCGAATAGACCAACAAGAATGCAATTTTATCAAGCAACTCAAATCAGATCAACATAAACTTTATCCTTCTCGAAGTCAAACTTGCGATTATATAGAGCAGAAGCATATCAAATATGAAAAGAATTATAAATTTGGGTGTAGATAAAGATTCTGACACAAGGAACTGTACTTACGACAAGTAAGTCACAGTTGATTTACGAGTAAGAATATAAAATCGTTTCCAGTAATCTGTGATGTGATGTGAATTTAATTTATTTTCCCAAGATGAGTTTTGTCTAAACACTGAGATATATTGGCACGGATACGAATCCCTGAAAGCGAGCTTGTACGGGAGCCGTTGTTTTGTTTAAAATATGGAATGTCTTTTTAAAGTTGGATGTAGGTGTGGAAAGGAGTTCAAACGTATTTAGGGTACTTGACACAAATATGGTAATTTGGTGAAACAGGGAATACTGCTCCTCACGAGTTTTCCTGTAAGCAACTTTACTGGAAGGATCAAAATGTTTGCAAACTTGAGCCAACCAAAACATTTCTTTGAGTGTCATTGGATGGAGAAGAATATGCCGGAGGCGAGGGAAACATCATGAAATAGTTTAATTCTTCACATCTGAAAGAAATATGTGAATAGCGGAAGGGTGTTTGTGTGGCTGAAGAGACAGAACGCAATGAGAATAAAATTTTTGAGAAGACCTCCGTTCCTGAACTTGTATGCCGAAAACGACATACAGTGGGATGGGGAATTACCTTTTTTTCTTTTTTTCCTTTATCATTCCTACTCCCCTTTATTGAGTACACGAAGATAAAATGTATCAGGAAGGGGGAAGCAACCAGTTAAAGGTCTGCCACACAACACACTTGATGAGGTAAGACTGGCGGTGGTGGTGGCGGGATTCGAACACGTCCTCCAAGGTTCTAACTGCTGACATTGCCACCGGGCAATCACCGCCCGGATAGAAGAACAAAAAAGTAAATTGGGGAACAATGAAAGACATTTTTCAATATGTGCTTGTTGTAAAATCATTTAATCTCGATGTAATCAGTGTAATCCACATGCGCGCGTCCTTCAGCAGACTGCGCTATAATTTTGTGTTGTCGCAAATAATCGAATTCAAGGAGTTTTATCATCATTATGGTACTTGTTCATCGGTGTACGGGATCGAGATTGGTTCAGCTTAAAGACTCACAAATTGAACTCACGATTGGATTCAATTATTTTTAATTCTCTCAAATTTGGAAACTCCCCTAAAATGTAACGATTGTGTCGGCTTGCAAGTTTCTTTTATTTGCACCGTTCCATTCGTCCCATCACTACTGAGTACTAATAAGTTCATTTCCCACGAAAATCTCGAATTTACCACTTCGTCTCCGTTCTCGGATTCACGTTCATATTTGTCTGATTTGCATACAAGAAGGTTGGCTGAATCCGCATGTTACTGACACGGTGTCCATCGATGAATTTACCCTGTACCTACAGGACAGAGTTTCATATGGTAGGAAAACTAGCAGTGGTGTGGCTACCTACTTTACCAATTTGTCTGGTGGAAAGTCCGATGTTATTTTCTCATACTCAAGCAACGGTTTTGATGGTTTATCTCTCCAATGTCGCTCTCAGTTCATTGATGAACCTTCGTAAAAACTTATATACAGCTCCGTTTTGCACACAAAACAGTACCTCGAATTTTCACCATTTCGGTTTCCACTGCTAGAAGATAACCTACACAATATCTTGGGTTTTCACACAATAAGAACCTATCACCGTGAAAATTTAATTCCTAGTGACATTGATATTGGAATACCCCACAAATACATAAAAAACAAATGCTCAGGATAAAGGGTTTGTCTTTATGCAAAGAAGTTCAAAAAATAAACATACTTTTCCTGGCGTGATTTACAATGCATTTTTGCAATTCGCCGGATTCATCGTTGGCGTGTTGCATAGTCCTAGAAGCAATAATTCTCGGATTCAGCAGTATACTACTGTCGGAGTAGTTAAAGTGCTTCCTGGGAAAATTGGTCGACGGTAATTTCCGAGTCTTTCAGGTGAAGTTGATAAAAAAGCAAAATCTAGATGCGTTTTAAGTACACTTGTTTTGTTGTGTATATTTGTATATGTTTTAGGTAATACTGGGCATTAAATTAAAGACAGTGAAATGACCACACGGAAATCATCAACTCACCGGGGTACTCTGAAGCAGGATTTTTCCACTCCATTGGATGCACATAACGCTTCGCATATTCCGATTTGTATCGATAAGCGAACTGTTGGATTATAAAGGCAATCGCAGAGTAGATGTACCAGAAGGCTTATACACTCGCTTTTCATGTTATTTAGATGGTAAAACTGATTTGCAACCGTGGGATATACCAAGGTCATACTTGAGTTCATCTTAATTGTGTAAGTAAATTGGCAATTCATATCAATTTTCTATTTGTCTCGTTTTTTGAATGCCAGTTTGGCTGCAGCTAGTGCTCGTTATTTCTCTCCAGCATTTTAAAAAATCGTTTTTGTGATTGTCAACTTTGTTTGAGAACCCGGGAAAATTATTTATGAACAAACTGGCACTGAAAATGCGAACTCCATGAACAACAACAGGATTCGTGTTGTAATCCAAGACTCTGAGTTAACGCCAGCGGAGGGTTTACGCTTCACAGTTTTGGGATAAAGAACCACATGATAATAATATTCGTCATTCAGAAGACAGGTGATTCAAACAGTAGCTGTGTGATCGGCAAGGATTCACATCACTAACTATAATTCTATTTATTTGTTATTATTTAATTCAGTTGATTGCTTCCAATAAACCAAACCTTTACTTTGTGGCCCTTTCCTGCGTCTCGGTTATGGGGGATTTCGGCATAAGATTACCAGTAGGATTCAACATTTCACTTGCGGTTCGTGTCTCGTAATTTGAGGTTGGTGTCCACTAATGGTACTACAATTGGCTTTCCTCGAACGTTGTCTAGGATATCTAAACAGGATATCTAGAAGACTAGGCCAAAAGTTGTGCCCGTGATCACCACCTTGTACGGTTGAGAAGTGGGGTAATTGGGTCCTTCTCGTTTGCACCTTGTTGACACTGTAAACGTGACGGTCTAAGAACGTGCGATTTCATAGGCACAGACAGTCAACATCTGTTTTCCTACACCCCTCCGTGTACTCAAAGCAACTTGTGGGGGCACTTAAGCTCCCGTGGCCAGATTGTCGACAAGTGACCTGTAGTGAAGNGTAGTGAAGCCTCCAAAAAATCGATAATTGACTTCCACCGAGAACCAAATTCAGAGTAGGAGACAATTATTATCCCACGTTTCCTTGGTAAATCCTTATACAAACTTATATACAGTGTTGTGTTGGTATAATTATGAAACACTGAAAACATTCCATTTCGCCTGTTCGCCGAGCTTGGCAATTTGTTTGCAAACGTTTCATCACCAGCCGAGGNCCTCGGCTGGTGATGAAACGTTTGCAAACAAATTGCCAAGCTCGGCGAACAGGCGAAATGGAATTCAGTTCACCCGAGCTACGAGAACCGATTTTCAATATTTTGTCAACACTGAAAACATGCTCCTTCGCCACCTTATGTTCTCATCGGTTGTTCAGTGGGGCTGTTCAGACTGTATGAGTGTGAATTGTGAGACGGTCATCAGCTTCGGTGGGATTCGAACACACTGCATATCCTTCCACATTTAATCGCCCACACAGTTCACAAAGGCATATGAAACCTTTCGAATTACTGGCTGTTATGACAAAAATTCCCTAGAATGCACCCGATTCAAGATGTTTCTGCAAGCTGTGGTTTGTGTTTTGACACTTCAGATCAAACATTGTTGTTGTTGTTGTGCTGAGCAACTCAAGTATAGCATAGAGTAGGTCTACGGAGATCGATAATTTATCCCGTTTAGAGGTGTAAACCACGAATACAACCTTGGATGTCTATGTTGGCAACCTTAGTATTGGTCACTTCCCTGTTCCCGAAAATCGCATGATTGTATACGTAATAAAATGAATAAAATAGAAAAAGATTAAAAAAGGATAGGAGATATGCGGTCCTGACTGGCCAATCAAATAGTTGCTTTAGGTGGGATCGAAAGAATACTGATAGACACCATCTGATGAGTCTAATAACTATTTTTGATTGAAGGCAATAAATAATAAGAACACTATCAATATTGCTAGGCTTTTCAATCAGTGGTATAAGTTGAATTTTAAGGTGAGCTTTCTTATGATCGACGGTCATAATTAATATACTCCTCTTAGTGGCCTGAGGAGCAGAATTTCCACAGGAACTACTTTGATAAGTTTGTTTGCAAGCTGTATTTGTACCATCTATTGCAGTCTGTTGCATTTTAATCAGTTGGTCTGATATCCTAGATCGGACACTGGCAGCCTATTGTTTATCGGTACCTCAACTTTCACGGTT